TCTAAAAACGTTTTCAGTTATTTTAAAAGCACATCCAAATGAGGTTTAAGAAATCATTAACCTCTTATGCCCACGTCTTGTATGTGCTACATATTGGAGCATTAGTTAGAACTTTTCTAATGGTGTAGGCAAACAAAATAAACAAAATTGTACTTTAATGATTAACATGGTAAGTTATATTTACTCAATTACCTCATAAAAAAAGTGTGTACTCTGATGAAACAGGCAAACCAAGTAGGCACTTGTTTGACCACTCCATCTTAACTTGATTTTCCTTGCATGGCAAGTCAAAACACCTTTGCCTACCCCCATTGGAGGCTGCTAATTGTATATATAATTATATTTACACTTGCATCAAATCTCAACGACCTGCCCTTCACTAATCACATTTCACAATTCTTCCAGAAACCATCAATATTTTAAAGTGCAGATGCTTAAGTAACAACACAAATTCAATGAATAATATGATTAACATTCACATACAAAAATAAAATAAATTTTTGAAAACTTTACAGTCACTTTTCAACTACACAAATACAATGGATAATGTTGTAATACAAAAATAAACAAAACATAAAATTTTAGGGTTTGGATTGGACAAACCCAACTGACATGAACGTTGGATAAGCAGAGTAGAAATTTAATAATTTCAGGTGTTCTAACACTATGTTTGGATGAGGAAAATAAACATGGAATTTTGGTAAAAATCAAAATTTATAAATTGACAAGCACCAATTCTCTTGTTTGGATTCATAAACATAGAAATTTAGAAATTCCACATGGAAAAAAAACTTGGAATTTGGAACCTCCAAATCCCAAGTTCAAATTCCATGTAAATAGATGTCATTTCTCAATTTCTATGATTGAGAGTTTAAAAATAACAAATTCCGTATTCAATTTCATTGTTCTCTTAGGTTAACTAAACAAGAAAATTTACAAATTTTAGAAAATAAAATCTCGTCATTTCAATTTCCGTCATTTTTAAATTCCTTAGTAATCTTAAATTTCTTTACCCAAACATAGTCTAAGTGTCTGTGACCGGAGAAATCCTGTGGGAAGTTAAACATGGTCTTAAAAAAAATCCAAATCAAACATTTTGTTTAAATTGCTGCCAACTATAAGAGTCCCAAGGATGATTAATATTTTTTTCATTTTCTCCATGTGTACCTAAGTTTCTTATATTGAATTCTTTTTTTTGCCTAGATACGTTATTGGTTGACTTTAATGGAGTAGAACAATGTACAGATATTTTTGCAGAGCAAATTCCTGCAAGAGGAAATGTTGGTTAAAAAAAACTATTTTATATAAGAGATAACTACATTTCATACCACTTAGATTTTGGATGATTTTTAATTGAGTCAAGTAGTTTCAAGTTTCTCATATTGCATCATACGACTTTGAAATCGTATGAGTAATATGATTGTCTAGTCTTTCATTAAATTGATGACATGACAAGTGTAAGACCTTACATATATATTATATAAAACATTCATCATAAAGCTTCAACTTCTCCTAAATCGATGTTTGTGTTATAGAAGGACAACCGATCACCATCAATTTAACATTACGTTCAAACAGACATAATATGTAAATTAATACTTTAAAGTACAATGTGAGAATATTATTGAAACCTCACAACTTATTTTGAAGTACAATGTGTAGAACAATGTACAAATATTGTTTACCCAAACATAGTCTAAGTGTCTGTGACCGGAGAAATCCTGTGGGAAGTTAAACATGGTCTTAAAAAAAATCCAAATCAAACATATTGTTTAAATTGCTGCCAACTATAAGAGTCCCAAGGATGATTAATATTTTTTTCATTTTCTCCATGTGTACCTAAGTTTCTTATATTGAATTCTTTTTGTTGCCTAGATACGTTATTGGTTGACTTTAATGGAGTAGAACAATGTACAGATATTTTTGCAGAGCAAATTCCTGCAAGAGGAAATGTTGGTTAAAAAAAAACTATTTTATATAAGAGATAACTACATTTCATACCACTTAGATTTTGGATGATTTTTAATTGAGTCAAGTAGTTTCAAGTTTCTCATATTGCATCATACGACTTTGAAATCGTATGACTAATATGATTGTCTAGTCTTTCATTAAATTGATGACATGACAAGTGTAAGACCTTACATATATATTATATAAAACATTCATCATAAAGCTTCAACTTCTCCTAAATCGATGTTTGTGTTATAGAAGGACAACCGATCACCATCAATTTAACATTACGTTCAAACAGACATAATATGTAAATTAATACTTTAAAGTACAATGTGAGAATATTATTGAAACCTCACAACTTATTTTGAAGTACAATGTGTAGAACAATGTACAAATATTGTTTACCCAAACATAGTCTAAGTGTCTGTGACCGGAGAAATCCTGTGGGAAGTTAAACATGGTCTTAAAAAAAATCCAAATCAAACATATTGTTTAAATTGCTGCCAACTATAAGAGTCCCAAGGATGATTAATATTTTTTTCATTTTCTCCATGTGTACCTAAGTTTCTTATATTGAATTCTTTTTGTTGCCTAGATACGTTATTGGTTGACTTTAATGGAGTAGAACAATGTACAGATATTTTTGCAGAGCAAATTCCTGCAAGAGGAAATGTTGGTTAAAAAAAAACTATTTTATATAAGAGATAACTACATTTCATACCACTTAGATTTTGGATGATTTTTAATTGAGTCAAGTAGTTTCAAGTTTCTCATATTGCATCATACGACTTTGAAATCGTATGACTAATATGATTGTCTAGTCTTTCATTAAATTGATGACATGACAAGTGTAAGACCTTACATATATATTATATAAAACATTCATCATAAAGCTTCAACTTCTCCTAAATCGATGTTTGTGTTATAGAAGGACAACCGATCACCATCAATTTAACATTACGTTCAAACAGACATAATATGTAAATTAATACTTTAAAGTACAATGTGAGAATATTATTGAAACCTCACAACTTATTTTGAAGGATCTAAAAATAGTGTAAAATAGCCATCATGCACCATTGTCTCCCAACAAAATTTAAGTAGAGAGGAGTACATCATGATTTTTTACGGAATTAATAATGATTCACTTTTTATAATCATTTTCTAACTAATTTGATTTTCCATAAAAATACATTGAATAAAGCCTATTGATAAAAGGAAACACAACTCATAGACTTAAAACTATATAAAAACTAGAATAACAATAAGTCCCTACTTTTCATTAGTAACATTGTATAACGAAAAGTAAACTTAAAACATGATTGCTTAATAGAATCCAGGACATTTTTTTTCTCTTTGTTTTTGTTCATAAAACTGTAATTTTGATTTTCTTACATTTTCGATATTCTACTCCAAACAAGTTTAAATAACGGAATGAAATTCAAATTGAAAATAAACAAAAGTATTACAAAAATATAGAGGATGAATGAAATTTGAATTGACAATGAAGGAAAGGAATGGCAACAAAGAACAATAAAAGTGGGCGAGTAAGTTAATTAAAATGAAGGAATGAAAAGTTGTTTCTGAAACATGTTTTATGAGAATGACTATCACAGAATGTTTGGTACATATATCCAAATATTTAATACGGCATACATGTTTTTAATTTTCTCCAATGTCTCAATTTCTTCTTAACATCCATACTGTTTTTTAAGCTACATATAGGATCTTACACTTATTTTTACACACAAATTTATGTTTAATTATCACTCGTTTATATACGTTTGTTGTGGACAGCTCATGTAAAAGTTATTGACAATCATAATGTTGTTACCAACTGATCATGTAAAATATATCAACAGGAGTTCATGAAATTCATGATGAATTTTGTAGGGTTTTAAGAACATCTCCTTTTTTTTTTAATCACTTTATTATTCCTAATGTTAGTTTTCCATAAAAAGTTTTGTTCTCGAACAAAAGTTTTCCATAAAAAGTAGGATAAAGAAAAGTAATAATAATAATGAAAAAACAAACACCACCATAATCCATTTGTCACTACTCCCACCTCTCAATACTTGAATAGTATAAGCCCCTATTTTTTATTACTAACACAAAATAATTTTAGAAATAAGGCAAAAAAATAAATAAAATTTTAACCATATTTAACTCACAATTTTTTTTCACAATCCAACCACCCAATTGAACAAGATTTAGAATTTGGTAAAAATCAAAAGGTAGTGCTACTCACACACCATTTTTACTTCCTACACACTCTTGTTAATGTTTGTCCCATCTTCTTCAATTTATTTAATTCAACTAACAAAAATTAATATCAAGTGTGAGAGCTAAAAATGAGTTATAGACAGCACCATCCAAATCAAAACTCACCTTCAAGAAACAAGACCATAAACAACTAAACAAGTGAAAAAACGAATCGAGAGAGAACAATAAAAAAAATAAAAAAAAAATAAAAAAAACTAACGAAAAGTCTAAAAAAACTTTAGTTTTAATGAAAAATGACAAATAAAGGTGTAGTGAATAATACCATGAAAAAGTAAAAAAACGGTTTTTCATTAAAAGTAAACATTACCGAAAGTGTTTCGTTAAAACTCCTTAAAAAAAATTGATAACCCTAATATTTTAAGGTAAAATAAGAACCCTGATTTTGTAATTTGTGGGGCCGAGTAGCAGAATAAGGAAATCCAGAGAATCCTAGCCGAATCCCTTTTGTAAGGATCTTGAGATCCTACAATCATATTCGTTCATCATACATTATATGGTCAGAAATCATTGTAATTTTTTTTTATTTAAAATTGAATATAAACCGTACCTGACAAAACAAACCGCACGATATACGACAAACGGATGTGATTGGAGGATTTTGAGATCCTTACAAAGAGAATCCGGCCACACAAGGATCTTCTCTCTAAGAAAATCATTTTCAAGTGTCCACGTGTAAAATGATGAGGTCAGCAGTCCTCGTCAAAAGGAGTTCCTCTCCCATGTATACAGCTCAAAAATCAATCCCTTTATAAAGCCAAAGCCCCACAGGGGCTGGTTGGCTCTGCAAAATCCTACTCACACACGTTTGTTTGCTCTGTTTTTCTCCGTTTCCTCTGTTCACGCCGCTTCTCTCTCTCTCCCCTACTATCTCTCTCCCTCTCCTCCAACTTCCCACAGTCAACCTATTTATACTCCGATTTGGCACTCGAAACTGAATCGGCCCCAGTTGGATTTCTACTGGGTTTGGACTGATTTTTTCAGTTCTTCATCCGAAAAACCAGGAATAAAGAAATAATAAAGAAGAGATGGTTGTGGATTCTAATGGCGGTTTCGAGTGGAACAGTGATGGTGGTGAAGCTTCTGGTTCCGCTTCCGAGCAGTCTCAGAATTCGTCTCTGAATTCGAAGAATGCGAATCGTGTCACTGGTTTTGGCTCTTGGTGTGATCATATTTCAGAAGCTGCAAACAAGAGGCTCAGACAAACTCCAATGGATTCCAACGAAAAAGTATTTTACTGTTTTGTCTTGGTTTTTTCGTTTCGGTTTTTTTATTCAACGTGATGGATGCATCTTGAAACTTTACGTTTCATGTGTGTGTTTTAATTAATTTATATTGATTCATTTATTTTTGTGTTGTTTATGCGAGAAGTTTAGGTTTTGTTTTATTTGGGTTGATTCGGCGTTTGCATGGCGTTTTTAAGATTTTTACAATACTTTCTCTGTGGATTGGGATTTGAAAGAAAACCCATTGAAGCCAATATCGCTACGCTCACGTATCGTTCTTCCATTTTCCTTTTAAATGTTGCATCTTCTCAATTCTCAACCACATGAACAGAAAAAAAAAAAATTTCTCAACCACATGAACAGAAAAAAAAAAAAAAAACAGTAAAGTGTGATTGTTTCTTTTTCTATCATTTCGTTCCTTTTTAACACGATGGTTGTTTCTAAATTATTTTTATGTCTTTATATGTGAACAGTAGATACTTCCCATTTTCTGCAATGTTTTTTCATTTTTTTTTTTTTAATTTTTATTACTCATTTTTTGCAGGCTCAATTGGCTCAAACTCTTCTAAGTTTAAGTCCTCTTGGTTTGAACCTTGGGGTGACACCCCCTTTCATAGACTTAACAGAAGTGATTGCACCCAGAAAACTCAAGACTAAGCGTTCGCCGGAAGTTAAACCCAACGCTTTTCAGTTGATGACTGAGAAGGAAAAATTGAAGGCTTCTAACTTCAATGCATCATTTATCCGAATCGGTTTGTGGCAGGTTGGCAGTTTTTAAACAATCCATGACACACTTAATCTGAAGTTGCGAAAGTACAAATTTTGTTCGATTTTGATTATAATGTTGTGCAGAGAGTAGCTCACAATGAAGGTGACTTGGTGGTGAAATGTTACTACGCGAAGAGAAAATTGGTGTGGGAAATCTTGGATCAGGGTTTGAAGAGCAAGATTGAAGTGCAGTGGTCTGATATTTCGGCATTGAGAGCAGTTATCAAAGAAAATGAGCCCGGGATTCTGGAAATCGAGGTAACTCTTGTTTATCTTCGTGTTCATAAGTATTCATTGGACTAAGGGTTTAATTATGGTAATTTTGTTCCCAGCATCTTGTTAATATGGTGATGTTTTGCAGTTGAACCAGCCACCTACGTTCCACCGAGAATCAAATCCACAGCCGAGAAAGCATACCATGTGGAATGTGGCATCAGATTTCACCAATGGTCAAGCTCTTATTCACAGGTCCCTTATCTTTATTTTCTCTTCGCATTTCTCCTAAACCCTAATTTTTCAGCACTACCTGACGTAGTTTTTCGATATCTTCTGTTTTCAGGGGGCATTATGTTCAATTTCCCCCAGGTGCCCTTGACCAACACTATGAAAAGCTCATACAATGCGAAAGCCGGTTTTTAGAGATGAGCCAAAGACCTTTCCCGAGTCAAAAATCTCCATACTTTCAGTCAGACTTCCACAATGGTCTTGCAGAATTTTCTTTCAATTTTGATAGACACGGGGCAGAAATCCCCTCCAATCTGCAGTTCCCCTTTTCGCCATGCGTCCAGACACGTTATGATCATACTCAACAAGTTCAAACATACGAACAGCTCAAGCCAACTCTTAGGATCAAGGATTCAACTTCACCAATATCAGGTACTTTTATTGCTTCCTTCACAAGAAAAGCTTTTTTCAGGCCATCGACTCTTGAGAAGAGCAATACACTGATGTTGTTTCCCCAAATATCTTGTGATGATATAGTGATGGATTTTTCTTCGCCTTTAGATGAGGTGATCGGAAACCAAGCAGTTCAAAATCCACAAATGCCGGTTTACTGGGATCAAGGGATAACCCAAGCAATGACCAGTTTTGCTGATTTCTTAGGAAGAGAGCAACTTCCTGGATTGGTTTCTGTTGCACAAGCGAATTCAACTATTTCTTGTCAAAGCTTCAATGTATATAATCAAGGATTAGGAACCCCTAATCCCGACTCCCAATTGCTGAGTAATATCGAAAACCAGCTAATGATCGACTCACAAATTGAATTCAGCAATAAACAAGTCATGCCCCAGGCCAACTCACTCATTGCATTCCCAGAACAAATGAATTATGCATTTGCAGCTGATGTAAAGCACCCAGACTATGTACAAGAAGTGGTTGATAACCAAAACTTTGTTTCCGGCGCAAATGTTGACCTACTTCAGCCTCAGCCGGTTAGCTGGGTGTTGCCACTACCTCAGCCAGGCATCTGGGTGACTGCCAGGAACTCAAGGATACAAATGGCCAAGAACAACTCAGCATCTTCATCCTTCACTCAAAATTCAACAATGGAAGAATTTGCAACTTATAACGACTTGGCCAACCGCTGGAAATGATTCACAGAGACGAATGAAAAGAAAAATCTACCGGGATCTACCGGGGATGAGTGTATATTGCCTCAGCTTCATCCCCTGGTTAGGTCAGTATTAATTTTCTAGAGGGGGGATTAGATAGTCTTAATCCTCTGTTTGTTTGGTTTATTAGAGTTTAACTTTTCCTTTGTGGCTAACTTTTTCCAAAAGCTGCATTCTGGCTTCAGCATTGGCAGTGCTTTTTTGTCAAACAATGACGAGTCCAAGGTTGTTCTTGAAATTTCTTCAAGATTGAGTACACAAAATAGTCACTTCACGGAAAATCTCTCTGATTCCGACTCAAGGATTTTGTAATAACCTGCTTGATCCAATTTAATCTAAAGTATAAAAACTTCAATATCCAGCGATCATACAAGTTATTTTGAATCCAAGAAAAGTTGATATTTCAAAAGCCCTTTGTCAGCAGAGCACAAAGGGGTTCATCTTCTCAACGTACATAAACAAGAGGCATACTAAATAGATAAGTTCTGTTACACAAGACTGACGATATTTCTTTTCTGACAAAGCGATATTCTAAACTGATACTCTAATCCACGTGAAGAGGAATTAAAATGCAGATGCAACAAGACCGGCACAATGACCTAGTCAATCGCCCTAACCCATATCTAGAGAATCCGAATGTGCAATATACTCTTCCCTAACAGTAAGATTTTAACTAGAACAAAATCAACCAAAGAATTTCAAACAAGATTGGCCTGGGGAAGCAGTTAGCTCAAGTCTTCAGAACTTGTGACTCTTCAGGTACAGCAGCTGGAGGTTCATCAGACTTTGCTGCAACTTGATTTTCCTCTCCTTGTCCTTGTGCATTTATCTCACTGTATCTTCGCTTCTTTGGTGCTTTCTCCTTCTCATGTGAATTGCTTGCTGTTGCCGTTGCCTTCCCTTTCGTTTTTCCTTTCTCTTTTCCGTTCTCCTTGTCATTGCCACTGGCCTTGGCATTGGCACTGGTATCCGCATTAGCATTGACACTGGCAACGGCATTGTTGGCATCCGCCGGAGGAGGAAAGAGAGGCGGTTCGCGGCCGCTCAACCGGCAGAAAACCCTTTCAACCGTTCCGCTGATTTCATTCCCCAATCCATTGTTGTCTAAAATCAACTCCCAAACGGACTTGGAGGCCTTTTCGAGCACTTGGGTTTCAAGCTCCTGCCTTAATGCGTCAAAAAGCTCTCTTTTTGTCTGTTTTTCAGCCCCGGGAGTGTTGAGAACTTTGCTCTGCTCCGCCATTTTAATAGTCGTGTTCTTCAGCTCCTCCTGCAAATGCCCATTAACCATCACCGTTACAATTTCACAAACAAAAAACATACAATTTCAGCTCCAAAATTCCTAATTTTAGAGAGAGAGAATTACATTGGATTTAAGCTGATTGATGATCTTTAATCTGAGAGAATCAATGGTGCCATCGTTCATCAGAGACAACAATACGTCTTCTGGGGTTATCACCGGAGAAGAACCCATTCTTCAATTCTACTGAAAACTTACAATCGCGACCCCAATTCTTCAAAAGATGGAAGCCCTAATTCTCTGATTAGGATTCCGATTCCAATTCTGATCCCTCTCTGCGTGCGCTCGATCTTGTTCTGTGCAAGCCCTAACTGTAAACGACAGGTATTTGATACTATTTCTCGTTAATCCAAGACCCTTGCTTCATATGCCACTTTGTGGCATTGATCTTGAGAATTGGTATCCGGATTTCACCTGGAGAATGAGAACCTCATCAAAATGAATTTTAAATATTTTTAATTTTCTCCAATATCGTAGCACAACCATTTCACCAAACAATATTGCTTGGAACTAAGTTGAATGGTTAGAGATCATATATTACACATTCTTCCTATTCTTCCTTGTTTCATAATGAAGAATATATCAAAATGTCACACGCCAAAAGCACTCGCATTTATCAAATCAACACTTCCATGAACAACAATATGCCAACAAAATTGACTTGAAAAAACCCCGTTGTCATATGTTTCATTATTTTGCTGATATGTGCTCAAAATAAATGGTTAAATTGGCCCAATGTTACGCTTTTCATGTATAAATTGATAATGTTTGTGGCGGTGTCACTCTTGTTGTATATACCAGATAAGCAAACAAATCAACAAAAACCCAGAAAAGCAGCTCACAAATGTAATTATACGAATGCAAGAGGACTCGGCATCTTACTTGAACATATCAGACTCGTGTCTTTACGATACAAAAAATTCACTCTTTTTTCTTTACATACAACTCAGGCCAGGAAACCCTAAAACCCAACCCTAAATCGAACTGAATGAGATGTAAAACAAATTCGAACATATATAATTTTATAAATTCAGATTAAAAATAATCTATTTGTTTGGAGCAGATGAAATTGCAGTCCGCAGGCGAAATTTCTAATCGTTAAACTGGATTAGACAAAATCATGAAATTTTTTCTAAAGCCCAACCATATTAAATCACAAATTTGAAGCAGATTTTGACATGCAATAGGTCAACAAGGTAGGAATCGTTTCAGACTAACCTCGATGGCGGGCGTCGGAGGAATCGTCTGTTACTGTCGGAAAACTTGAATCCGAACCCAGCTCCTGGGTTGGTTATAGGGAGATGCTGTTGATGTGAAATTCAAAGGAGAGGAGTTTCAACTTGAAAGATCGTGGCTGCTTGGTGAGGAGATGAGGAGAAGACGCGCAAGATTTTCCAATTGGAAGCCAAGACGACGACCAGGCCCCACAGGCAGGAAGAAATCAGGAGGAAAGACGAGTGCTGGGCATTTTTGTCGGTGTAGAAATGTAATAATGCAAACTTAGCAGGGGTAAAACAGGAATATAGATTAAATCTAAGCCCAAAGGCCCAGCTAATGAAAAGGAGGAAATAACATGCACAAAATGGTAGCATATTTTTTTAGGGAATTTTAACGAAATATTCTCATTAATTTCACTTTAGCGAAAAATTATATTTTTATACTAAAAAGTTAATCTTGATACTATTCAATTTACCATTTATTTTTTCTTTATCGTTAAAACTTAAAATTTTCAAGTTTTTTTTCCATTAGTTTTCCTTATTTTTTATGATGGGCCAGTGTATGGAAAGGAATCCTCTTCGGATTCCACCAAATCCTACCAATCAACAAATCCGGGTCCTTGAAATTTGATGCAACGGCTAAAAACAGTGAACTCCTTTAAAGTTTATAATTACTTTAGCCATTTGATCAAATTTCAAGAGCCGAGATTTGTTGATTGGTAAGATTTGGTGGAAGGGATCCAGAGAGGATTCCTTTCCCCGGTGTATGAGTTAATTTCATATCAAAAACACTTGATCAAATTGTATTGTTCATTCTTGTGGTTGTAGTAGGAATGCCTCAATCTAACGGGTGGTGAGAAAACTATTAATCATGCTTATATATCGCGATTTTCGTTTAAACTCCGTCTGAAAGTAGTACGTGAGACGCTTTTTAACCATGCAGGCGAGTCTCATACAATTTTTGTCGAAATTTGAACGGAAATATCGGTTGTAACTTAGGTAACTGATATTTCACCAAACAAATCACTTGGCCTGAGACATCATATGGAATTCCGCCAAAACATTTCATCTGCTTTGTTTTCACGACCCTTCCTATTAACTGAATATACAAATGCCATGCACTCCTAAATTCTTCTTGTCTTTGTATGGATCACCATCGCGGGCGTGGCTGAAAGATTTGCAGTCAAATGATTGAAACCTACAAGTTTGATGTCTGGACACACGGCACAGGCTCAGCCTTGGCAAAGATATGCAGTGTCGGATTCTCCAGACTCGTTTTAGTTGTCATCTTCATCTCTATCCAAGCAAGCAGATAAATAGCTCAAGATGAAGCCGTCTACATCTCCCTCAAGGACAGAATCAGGATCTGAGACTTCATAGTTTGTCCGAAGATCTTTCACCATCTAGTATGGCTGCATTAAAAGTAGCAATGGAAGTTACGTGACTTGGGTTTTCAAGGAATTGGGGATAGTGTTCTGCTAGTTCTAGAGGCTAGAGCATACATGGAGCACATAGCTGCGTGTCTGGCTTCCCCAGGTTATGTCGGTAAAAGATTGTGAATACTGCACATTCATCTTATTCTGGCACGCCATCTCAAGCTGGTCTACTCGTGACTGAATAACAGCCATTGCTGAAGCCTTATTCTGATGTTGTGATCTGTACATTGAAGAAAAAGGAAACTCCGTGATTAGGATGAAAGTTGGCAATTCTTAGTTCCAAATATAAAAAACGAAAATGTGTTTTAACACCTCTCATTTTGACAAGTAGCAGTAATTCCTGTAGGAATGTGAACAATCCTCACAGCACTATCAGTTGTATTTGTGTGCTGGCCTCCAGCTCCCCCAGAACGAAATTGCTCAATGCGCAGATCAGATTCATTATTTTGTACATGCTCAGATGCATCTCCCAGGATTGGAGTCACAGTAACAGCAGCAAATGAAGTGTGCCTGCGCTTATTACTGTCAAAAGGTGAGATCCGTACCAACCTGTGCACTCCTACTTCTGCTTTGGCATATCCAAAAGCATATTCACCGTCAACCTTGATTGTTGCCTGCTGCAAGAACAGATTGATCTGAAGTCAGAACATTAGCATACTCTTCAGTTTAAAGGCTTTACTGGAATATAATTGGGGTGGGACAGTGGATTTGCACATGCTTGGGATAAGCCGATTTCTTTTTCCTTACCATGCAAATAATTGCTACAGATGTTTCATGGATCCATTCGCAAATACAAAGGATCAGTGGATAGAAGATGAACCTTGATTCCCGCAATCGCACCAGGCATTTCATCCACCACAGTCATGTCGTATCTGTGTCGTTGAGCCCACATTTTATACATCTGCATGACCATTGTTGCCCAGTCATTACTCTCTGTACCCCCAGCTCCTGCTTGAACCTACATGGCACAATACTATCTAAGGTCTGGTTGGCATAGATTAATCGCAACCAGTGTCTTTCACCATTATAACATCTATATAATGAGTACAAAATACCAACAACTAGACACCACCAATACATGTTTCATAGAATATAGGAAATATTAATGCAGAAAACACGATTCATATATCAAACGGACCTCAATGTAACACGAGCAAGGATCCTGCTCCCCAGCTAACAAAGCTTCAATCTCCTTCTCCTTTGAAGTTCTTCTCATATTAAGCAAAGCGTTCATGGATTCCTGCATATGAGAATCCGTACAACTAACTAAAAAGCACAATGCACGTTGTTCTCAACTCTCAAGTACCTTATAACTTAAAAGAAAGGATTCAACTTTATGGAAAGGATTCAAATATGACCAGTTCAATTGATCCTTCTTTGCATCAATGTAGATCGTATATTGTTACTGCATTGATTCTATTACCAATGTTATATGTCCGTTACTTTTTTCCTATTCACTGAAAAACAGATACTAGCATGGACTTTTCACTATTTGGCGTACATCATAAATTGAATCTACGATAACCAGTGAATAAAACATCATATTGGTGCTAATTATTCAAGACGGCAAAAACCATGAAATAACATGCCTATGAGAAGAATTGAAGGCCCACCGATTCCAGCTTTGCGTCATTCTCTTCATGGGCAAGCTTCACCACGTCTATATGCTCGAGCAATTCTTGCTCAAATGCCTGCACTTCTTTCATTTTATCCAGAAGTGAACCATGTTCATGGCTTATCTTCCCTGCATGTACAGGATCATTCCACAGGTCTGGCTTATTCACCTCTGCTGATAACATATCCAACCTAACCAGCAACTTCTTCCACTGCCACCATAATCAGAAGACGTACTTCAAAACTAAGCGGAAATATTCGAATACAAACAGAGAATCAACCATACCAAATGATTGAATCCTCAACATAAGAAACAAATGATTGAATCCTCAACATAAGAAACGAAGTTATGCTTCCAGATAAACTCATATGGCCTTGTTTGGTGTCTAGGATTGGATTGGATTCGATAAGTCACTAGATTCAACGTGTTTATGAGAAAATGGACGGATTAGTCACCAGGGAAACTTCTCTCAGCCAATCCCCACATTTTCAACATACATTGAATTTATTGACAGAGGAACACAATGGAATGTTTTAATTTTAATTGTACCTGCAAACGTTTCTTAATAAGATGAATGGACTGTGCAATTGCAGCAGCGTGACTCTTCCAATCACTCTCGTTCACACCCAGAATCGGCCACTCACTAGCAATGATTCTATCAACCGTCCCATCACAGGTCGACGGCTCCACCGCAGCCTGAGTACCAAACAAGCAAACCAACCCGAAACTGCCACGACCCGAATACAAACTTCTCACCATTGGCAGCCCCAATACACCAGACCCAGTGACATTTTCCCCCGCAGCAACATACCCAGAGCTTAAGGCATGAGGCTTGGAGCCCGAAATAAAGATACTAATCGGAAAGGGGTGATTTTGGAGAGACCCAAATGGGGATTCTGAGGTATTGGAGGAAATGGAGAAACCCCAGAATCCAAAATCCTGTGTTTTTCAATTGGATTTGGTAAATTTTGAGGGCTTGAGGGTCGATATAGATTTCTGGGTTGGGATTCAGACAGAGTAGAGAAAAGCAGAAATGGAAAAAAGCCGCTTTTGGCTTCTGGGTTTGGGCAGAGAAGCTGCCAGGATCCACTACTACTTGCTCTCCTTCTAAGCATGAAAGATGACATTTTTCTGATGTTTGAATCTTTTGAGGTTTAACAGAAACTCCAATTGAGGGTTTTAAAAATACAGGAGCTGCTGACCTAGAAGATGAAAAGATGAAACGATGACGTTTTGAAATACAGTCGCCTTTTTTCCCCAAAGCCTTCGTCTTCCTCAGCCGCTGCTCAGTCACCATGTCAGCCCAAGCCGACGCCGTAAATCCCAGTTCCCAAAATGCCCTCCAAACCCCACAGAATTACCCCGTGCCCCTCTCCCCGCCACTCCCCGCCATCTCTAAGCACATAGAGCTGGCGAGAGCCATGTCCGCCTCTTCCAAATCCAGCTTCTTTTCCCTCTCGAGAAACAGCGAAGTTTACGAGGACCAGTGGCTCGTTGGAACCGGTCCCTCAGCTTCTCTGTGACTCGGCCGAGTTAGGTGAGCCAGGTTAACTCTTCTCTTTTTTTTCTGGTCTGCTTCTTGTTTCCAAGATGAAACCTAGAGAAGTGCTTTTCTCGTTAAGTTGGCTTATTCTAAAACTGCTTCTCAGTACAATGAGGAATATGATCTTCAATCCTAAAGAGTTTTAAATTCATGTAATCAGTGGAAATTAGCTGGGATCAGGGTTTAGTTTTGTTGTAGATTCTCCAAGCCAATTGGCAACAACTTCTGCTTATTCGAAAAGCCATAATCAAATTTAGGAAACGCTTTCTAAGTTCATTGGATGGGAGATACTGACTACTTGCAATGGGCGGGAAATTTTGAGTTTTGATTCCTATCACATAGTGAGTCGGAAAAGTGCTTCCTTGGAAAAGTTGATTTTTGTTACTCTTTCTTGAACACTGATTTTAGTCCAAGTTATCAGTTGCAGGGACCCAAACCATCCACCTGAGCTCCATCTTGCCAAACGACTAGATTTTAGTAAGACCCCGTCCTAGGAGTGGACGAACACATCAAATCCGCTCGCATTGTCAGTATCTTGGAATTTCCATAAGAGCTTGTCTCTTGAACACCCTGTTACTGGTCT